AACCTTCGTCGCGTACTCAGAACCGGCGACCCGGCCCCATGTACCGCGCGCTGTATGCCTTCCGCTCGGCGGAGCCCAACGCCATGGCGTTCGCTGCGGGCGAGACCTTCCTGGTGCTGGAGCGCAGCAGCACGCACTGGTGGCTAGCTGCACGGGCGCGTAGTGGCGAGACGGGGTACGTGCCGCCTGCCTACCTGCATCGTCTGCAGGTGAGTGTGTCCCTCCCTGCCAGACCTCTCAGCCGAACCCCTCTACCGGTACGCAGAGCCGATCCAGGAAGCTCAGCCAGCTCCTTCAGGACTGCTACAAGACAGGGAGTGTGAGAATCTGACCTTAAGTCCCAAGAGCCATAAGGACTGAGACCCCGGGGCCATCAGCACCCACCAAGAACTAGGCCTTCCACATCTAATCGCAGGCCTGTAAAAAGCTTTACTCTGGGGCTGACACCTCAGGCTGCCCCTGTATCCAGAATCAGAGCCTCCATATAAATAGAATTCCTTAGCTGGACCCAGAGACTCCAGCCCATTGCCCAAGTCCCTAAAGACCCCAAGGTCTTCTTATTCCCCTTTACTAAGTCCCTAGGATCCCACACTCTTGCCTCCTTTCCCGCTCCGCCCTGCCCTTCACCGACACTGCCATCTCAGACACCACCTGTTTCCCCAACCACCCTCCAGGTTCTCAGCCCCCAACCCCACACTTGAACCCCAGAGCCATAGGCATTCCCATCCCTTTCTCGACCCCCAATTCCTGCAATATGTCTGTATCCTGACCTCACACACCTGTCAAACTGTACCCAAGGACTGTTCCCCCAGCCCTTTTGGAACCAAGCCCCCTCCCTCCCTGGCCCCTGCTGACAAGGCTCCCTGGTACAGCAGCCTCCACTTCCCCCCAGGCCTCCAGTCCTGACTTCTCCATGGATTTCCTTACTCTGAATTCTGGGGAGCCCAACCCTGGAATGGGAGCTGCCCACATTGTGAGGAAGTGAGCCTCCTCCATGGCTTCCCCTGCTCTGAAGATGGCCTGGTTTCCTTCCAGTGGAGGCTGCAGCTCCAGTTCCTGTTTCCTCAGGAGAAGTCCTGCTGCAGTTCTCCAGTTAGTCTGCTCTGACTGGAGGAAGAAGCAGGGCCCAAAGCAGCCTGGCCTGTGCCAGACTCCTGCCCTGCCCTGGTCCCTAGCTGTGGAAACATCCTGTCTCAGCCCAGTTAAGGACAGAAATAATGTGATAAAGAGGAAATCTTGTCTGGCCTTACCGAAGGGGAGGACCCTTGCTTCTAGGGGCTTCCTCACAGACCCCCAGTCTCATCTTATCTAGAGGTGCTTGGGTACCTCTAGAGATACAAGGTCAGTTGGATCTAAAATGTGTCACACTCAGCCCAGCCTTTTGAGCACTGGGGTCTTATTGGAGACTCCTAGGGCAAGTCCTGCATCTTCCTCAGAGCCTGTGGATCCCCTGCTTCAGCAAGGCCAGTGGGGCCAGGAGTTTGGGGTGAAAAGGACAGTCTGTATGCATCTCTGCCTCATTTTTACTCTACCTGGTGCTTGCCTTCTTCCTCAGACTTCCCCATTCTGCTATGGACTGAGTCTTCTCTCACTGCCTCCTCTCTCTCTCATCTGTCATTCTATCCATATATACATGTGTTTCTTACTCCCCCATCTCTTGTTTCCCTGCCCCCCCTCCACCCCTGCACCCCTTATGCCACATGGAGGACTTTGCTGACTCCTGTATCCATCTGACCCCTTCAGAGAAGCTTCTTAGGCTCCCTCTGGAGCTAAGCATGGTGGCTTATGCCCACAGTCTCAGCATTTGGAAGGGTTGCCATGACTTCCAGGCCAGCTTCAGCGGCACCAAAGCTCATCTCAAAAAACCGGCCACCCAGCCAACCAAAAAAACAAGAAAACTCCACTCTGGAGTGTGTTCAGCTCTGCTCTGCAGTTCCTGTGTAGCCTGGAGGGCCTTGTGTGCTGGCCAGAACCACAGCAGCAACCCACATCTCCTCCATGTAAGACAGTGGAGTAGAATGGACTCGTGGGTTACGGAGGATGACAGCATAGGCCAGGAACCAGGCCTGTCTTTCAAATCCCTGCTTTAGCACAAGCACAGAGTAGCTTCCCAGAGGTGACCTGAAGGTCTGGCAGGACAGCGTGGGAGGTGAAGTGTGGAGGGATCCTTTTGACCCCTTCTTACCTCCCGGTTGTCTGGGAGGGCTGTGGGGGACGAGGCTGTTGTGAAGTGTGTGACCTTGGTTTTGTGAAGGATCAACAGCATGTAGAGTGACTGATTTAGGATTCTAGACACTGAGTCTTCCTTTTGGCATCTTACTCTGGGCTCTGAGCCAAGCCCAAGGATAGGCTAGGTGTACACGCCTGGTCCCAGTCCCGGATATCTGTGCTTCCGCTCTAGACGATAGTTTTCAGAAATGCCTTTGCCAGGAGTCTCTGTACGGGCTAAAATCCTGAGTGGGCCCTAAGTGTACAGTGCCGTCACAGCGTCTGCCCTGTGCCCCTGCTTCCTGAGTCCTACAACTTGACCACTTCATTCCATATTCCATTGTCCGTCTGCTAGTACCCAGCATTCTAGGGTTCACCTGTAGTGGGTCCTCCACCTACTTCCAGCCTGGGCTGGGTCTGGGCTGATCAACCCCACTTGGCCCCCATGTCTAACTGCCCTCCTACCTTTAGGGCATGGAGCAAGATGTCCTCCAAGCAATTGACCGGGCCATTGAGGCTGTGCACAACACAGCCATGCGAGACGGTGGCAAGTACAGCCTGGAACAGCGTGGAGTCCTCCAGTGAGTGTCTGGGAGGTGAAGATAACGCCTCCCTTGAGCTTGGTGGTGGACGGGCTCCTTTATAGGGCCAGAGATATTGTAGGGGCTGGGCTAGGGTTAGTATGAGGCGACACAGAATGGGATAGGAAGATGGAAGTCTGAGGGCCTGCACTGTGAGGCTCCAGCATCCCACAGGTATCAGATGAGGACTTTGGGAGTAGGGAGGAGCCTCCTCCATGGCTTATTTGTCTCTCTATCAGGAAGCTGATCCATCACCGGAAAGAGACATTGTCTCGACGGGGTCCCTCTGCCTCCAGTGCTTCAGTTATGACCCCGTCTACCAGTGACCACCATTTGGATTCTGCTGTCTCTAGGCAACCTAATGGGCTGTGTCGAACTGGGTTTGAACGGCAGCACAGCCTGCCCAGTTCTGAGCATCTTGGGACAGATGGAGCCCTCTACCAGGTATGGGGTGAGGGTATCTTTTAGAAGGAGGTATGAGGAACTAAGGCTTTTCCAGAGACTCAAGGGGTCCACTTGGGTCACAGGGGCAGCTAGCAGCCTGTCCTCCCTGATCCCTCTCTGTTCCCTCAGGTACCACCACAGCCTCGCCGGGCAGCACCTGCCACCCCACCCCCACCAGTGAAACGCCGAGATCGTGAGGCCCTGGTGATCTCAGGGAGTGGTGAGAGGGCCAGGCTGGGGTAATTGGGATAGGAGTACCCTGTGCTTGGAATGGTTGCTCTACCCATATTAGACAAATGGGAGTTCTGAACTTGGGGAGAATATAGAGTCCCAGTGTTTGGGCAGTTGGGGGCTCCAGGCTTGGTGAGGAGATAAGGCCTAGCAGAGGAACTGGGTCCTGTACTAAGGTCAGGGTCCCTAGGCAAGGAAGCATGGGGCCCCCCAACAGGTTACCCCAGCATACATAGCATTTACTTTTTACTCACAGGTGGCCGCACCACAATCCCCTCTGGGGGTAGCTCTGTGTCCAGTGGCTCATCAGTCAGCAGCACCTCCATGGACACACTCTGTACTGGCTCTGGCCCCTCTGACCTCGGTCCCAGCTCCTCACCCACACCCCCACCTGTGCCTCGCCGAGCTGCCCACACTGCTGTGTCCCAGGCCCAGCCCTCTCCCTCCAAGGCACCATCTCCTGAGCCCCCTGCAGAGGAGGTGGCAGCTGATACAAACTCAGCCTCCGATGCCCTGGAAGCTCTGGATGCACTGAGCCTGGAGACCACAGAGGAGAAGCCGGCCGCTGAGACAGTTGTGCCAAGGACCATTGGGGCAGAGCTGATGGAACTCGTGCGGAGAAACACCGGCCTGAGCCATGAGTTGTGTCGTGTGGCCATTGGAGTCGTGGTTGGTCACATACAGGCCTCTGTGCCATCCAGCTCACCTGTCATGGAGCAGGTCCTCCTCTCCCTGGTAGAGGGCAAGGTGAGCGAGGGTGGGCAGCATGGCCACTGAGCCTCCCCACCCTCAGCCAGCCTGCTAGTCCCACCCCCCTCCTGCCCTCACACCTTTGCTCAGGCTGTCTGTGACAGGATTTGTTGAGCTCTGGCTCATGGCTTTCACTGCACTGGGTATTGGGGTCATTTGAGTTGACCCATGAAGGAGAAAGGGAGGAAAAACAGAAATTCTAGACAGAGGCTCAGCCTGGACAAGGACCAAGAGTCAGGACAGAGCGTGGCTCACAGGAAGGAGGAATCAGAAGACGGTGGCTGGTGTGGCTGGATCACAGGCAGTGTGGGAGCAGGTTAGCCTGAGGCAGGTGACAAGACCAGGATGAGGTGGGAATAGAGGAAGCTTCCCGCCACCTGGAGGGGTTTCCCACTATCTCCGGGGGCTCTTTCTGTCTTTGGGATTCTGGCTGCAGGGAAAGAATAGACATAGGTGAGAACAGTGCCTTGCCAGCTTTGGAAGAGTGGAGAAAAGGGTGCACGGTGAGTTAGCCAACTTAGATGATAGTGAGTGACATGTGGGCATTTCAAGATTACTAAGGTCCATTGTCAAAATTAGGACACTGAAGCTGGTTGTGGTGGTGCATGCCTTTAATCCCAGCACTCAAGAGGCAGAGGCAGGTGGATCTCTTGAGTTTGAGGACAGCTTAGTCTACAGAGCGAGTTCCAGGACAGGATAAGACAGCCAGGGTTACACAGAGAAACCCTGCTTGGAGGGGAACAAAAAGGTCACTGGTCAGAAGGAATGGAGGTAGTGAGTACTGACTACTTGATAGAGTTTGGGTGGACCAAAGAAATTTCCTTAGGTTTCACATGGTTTTGGTTGGAGGGCAGTAGGCCAGAAGTACGTATGCCTGGGCTGGGCATAGCAGCTAACAAGTACAGCAGGCCTGGTGCCACATTGTGTGGAATGGGAGTGAGGATTCTGAGCCACATGTGAGCAGTGACAGAGTCCATGCCCGCCTCATGGGAGTGCTTATCCACATACGGGGTGAGAATCAGGATTTCGGAAACTCCCACAGCTGTGTTTTTTTGTTTGTTTGTTTGTTTGTTTGTTTGTTTTTTCCGAGACAGGGTTTCTCTGGCTTTGGAGACTGTTCTGGAACTAGCTCTTGTAGACCAGGCTGGTCTTGAACTCACAGAGATCTGCCTGCCTCTGCCTCTCGAGTGCTGGGATTAAAGGCGTGTGCCACCACCGCCCAGCTTCACAGCTGTGTCTTAAGCAGGATCCTGTATCGGGAGGTTGAGACTGGAGTTGACCTGCCCAGTGTGGATTTTGTGGGGCCTCAGCTCTGAGACAGGCTGAGGGGCCCAGGCTTCCTGGGGCAGGTGATGTACATGGATCTTACTGAGGCACTCTGCGCTGTTCCCCCAGGACCTGAGCACAGCCCTACCCTCAGGACAGGTCTGCCATGACCAGCAGAGACTCGAGGTGATCTTCGCAGACCTGGCTCGAAGAAAGGATGATGCCCAGCAGCGCAGCTGGGCGCTGTATGAGGACGAGGATGTCATCCGCTGCTACCTGGAAGAACTGCTGCATATCCTGGTATGTGGTAGGGGCCCTCATGGCCCCCAGCCCTACCTTGTGCCATCCCTCTTTAATGTGTAGGTCTCTCCTGCCCTCACATGCTCTCCTCACCCTGGATAACCCTCACTCTGTCTCCTCCCCTCAGACTGACGCAGACCCTGGCGTTTGCAAAAAGATGTGCAGAAGGGATGAGTTTGAGTCTGTCCTGGCCCTGGTGGCCTATTACCAAATGGTATGTGTGAGACAAGGGGCGGGCACAGAGGGGTGTGGGCAGGAGTCAGGGCACTGAGCACACAGGTTGTCCTGCCAGGAACACCGAGCGTCACTGCGGCTGCTGCTCCTCAAGTGCTTCGGCGCCATGTGCAGCCTGGATGCGGCGATCATCTCTACGCTCGTGTCCTCTGTGCTGCCTGTTGAGCTGGCCCGAGACATGCAGACCGACACACAGGGTGAGGTGGGCTGGGGGCTGCTCCCTGCCACGTGGAGAGCGTTCCCACCATCTGTTGGGGATGCCTGGCACTCTGGGTATTGTTAACTGCCTTCCTTACCCCCCTAGACCACCAGAAGCTCTGTTACTCCGCCCTCATCCTGGCCATGGTCTTCTCCATGGGAGAGGCAGTGCCCTATGCACACTATGGTAAGCATGCAGATCGCTGATCAGCTGAAGACAGGCCCCCAGAGGGAGGGCCTAGAGACCTGCTGACTACAGCCTGACAAGAAGGTATTCCCAAGGCTCACAGAAAGCCCAGGAGGCTGGATTGTGTGGGGAGGAAAAGTTGGGTATCTAGATTGCTTTATGCTCCTCTCAGAGCACCTGGGCACACCCTTTGCCCAGTTCCTGCTAAGCGTCGTTGAGGATGGCCTCCCCTTGGACACCACAGAGCAGCTGCCGGACCTCTGCATGAACCTGCTTCTGGCTCTCAACCTCCACCTGACAGGTGGGCTGAGGCGTGTCTGGAGGCTGGCTGACCAGGGTGGAGCCTTGTGGGCTCTGCGCCCATACTCTTACCTGTGTTCGTCCATGTCTTTCCTCAGCTCCTGACCAGAATGTCATCATGGCTGCCTTGAGCAAACACACCAATGTTAAGATATTTTCAGAGAAGCTGCTTTTGCTTCTGAACAGAGGAGGTGAGAGTCTAGAAGTCTGCATAGGTGCCACTTTGATGCCCTGCGACTGTCACCTCCCCCGCTTTGACATCTCTATTCCTCTGGGATGACTCTAGGACCCCAACAAGGACCTCCTTGACTCCTGTGAACCCTTGCCTTGTAGACGATCCTGTACGTATCTTCAAACATGAGCCACAGCCACCACACTCTGTCCTCAAGTTCCTGCAGGATGTGTTTGGCAGCCCTGCCACAGCCTCCATCTTCTACCACACAGACATGATGGCACTTATTGACATCACTGTGCGGCAAATTGCGGACCTGTCACCTGGAGACAAGGTGCCTGGAGATTGCTGCTGTGGGGATGGGAGCTGAATGACAACTTAACCAAAATGGGGTGAATGTGACATTGAGTGGAGATGAGGGGCAGGACTGCTGCTCCCAGTGCCAGGTGAGTGTGGAAGGCTACGCAGAGACCAGGACAGGGATGCCAGAATCCAAGGCAGCTAGGTGTATGTCGATCTGGAGCAGGATACCTGAAGAGCGTTAGTTAGGGTGGGGAGACGGACGTGAGGAAACAGGGTTTTGTAGATAGAGCCTTGGAGGCTGTAGCTGTGCCTGCTTCTCAGAAGAGGGAGGAGCTCCCTGCCTTCTTATGTGAGGGCCGAGGGGAAGCCAGGAAGCCTGAAGCATGCGTGGGTGGGGAGAGGACATCTGGCTGGTGAAATAGGTCAGGTCTGGGCTGTGTTGGAAGTGAATCCAGCAGAGCTTGCTCCTAGATTGGTTTTGAGCAACTAGGTGGACAGAGTGCCGGTGATTAATGGAGGAGGCCCAAGGAGCTTCTTAGGAAAGCATAGAGCTGTGTTTTAAGTGGGTTAAGATAGAGGACAAAGGCTGGGTTAAAGCTCAGTTGATAGAGTTCTTGCTTTGCATACTTGAGACCCTGGCTTCAGTCCCTAGAACTGAAAAAAACTAAAGTATCTGGGAGACAACTGCAAGATTGTCAGGTGCCAGGGCATGGGGAGGCAGTGAGTGAGTTGGGACTAGGGACGTACTGGAGTTATCTGTTCAGAATGTGACAGAAAGCCTGTGATAGTGTGGTCACGTAGGAAATTAGATAGATGGTGTCAGCAGGAAACTTGGGCCTTAGCTGTGACACAGCAGGCTCAACTAAGGAGGAACCCAGGAACAAAAGCTGGTGAACAAGAGCAAACCACAGACCATGTGTTTTTGGAGGGGGGAGAAGGTGGGTAGAGAATTAACCTTTGCATTTGCCACGTGGAAACCAGCGGTGAATGCCAGCTGTGCCAGCTGTGCTGGTGCAGTGGAGGATGGAGTCTGAATGGAAAGTCTGAGAAACTTTTACGTTACTGGGGGAGTGGGAATGAGGAATGACTTGTTAGCAGTCCGTGAAAGGAACCAACTTCCTGTCTAGAGAAACAGAAATGGAGGCAGGCACTCTAAGGGAACACTGTGGGGTCAGGGAGGGTCTTCTAAAGGTGAGAGGTGCTGGTGCATCCCTGACCCAGGGGATCCTCCAGCACGCACGAGAAGTCAACCATGTATTGGAGAGAGTGGACCACTGCAGGTGAAGGGCAGGTGAGGCGGGGTGGGGGACACTGGGGGCTCTACTGTTCATTCTGGTGAAGACAGGTGAAGGGCAGGTGAGACGGGGACAGTGGGGGCTCTACTGTTAGGGAAGACAGGTGAAGGGCAGGTGCTGAGAGCAGAAGACAAGGGGCTTCAGAAAGCACAAGACCAGCTGAGGTTCGAATGACAGAGGAGATAGGCAGTTGTTCTCCCAGGAGAACAGACACAGCAGAGAAAATCAGTGCGCTTGGATACAGGGGAATCAGGACACTTGCATTCGGGCCTGAACTTCTGGGTCAAAGCACTGTTTCTTTCCTAGAGTAAAGACCATGGGAAGCCTTTCACCTTGGGGATGTTGGGGCAAGAAGATGAGTTTGGTGGTAGGTGTGTGGATTTGAGGCGTCTGAGATATGCAGGAGATGACAAGCAATTGGATATTCTTGCTGGGCACTCCAGGACAGATCTGTGTGAGATGTATGAGACTGGATTGCTGTTTGAAGTCATGGGTGTAATAGAGACAGTGAGAAGCCAAGGATTCTGACTGACATGCATGTTATCCAGGGGACCTAGCGCCAAAAGACTGCAGGACTTCCCAGGGCAGACAGATGCTGGGATTCTGTGTGGCTGGAGTGGTGCATTCATTCACTCACTCAACAGCTTCGGGAGCCATTTAATGTTGGCTCCCTTCTAGGTCCTAGAGTCCTGGGATTTGGGAAGTTCAAGCTGGCGTGTAGAGCCCATGGGGCAGTGGTGGCCAGTCCCTCTCAGGGTGGTTGCAGGACGTCTCTGGGGGTCTCTGAGCCAACCTTCTCTTCCCACAGCTGCGCATGGAGTACCTCTCCCTGATGCATGCTGTGGTTCGCTCCACGTCCTACCTGCAGCACCGCCATCGGCTGTCAGACCTGCAGGCCACACTGAGGCGCATCCTGGCTGAGGAAGAGGCCTCGCCCCAGTGCCAGATGGACCGCATGATTGTCCAAGAGATGTACAAGGAATTCCCAGAGCTGGGAGAGGTCCCCAGCTAGCACTTCTTTTTTCTCCCTTCTCTGCAGCCCTGGTCAGGGTGCAGGGAACTCAGGGGATTCACTCTAAGAATGTTTTGCACAGACATTATAAGAGGATAAAGAATTCGAAAGAATCTGAGCCAGGCCCCTTACCTGAAGAAGAGTCAGTGTAAGGGGCCAAGTGCAGGATTGGGGACCACAGTCTGGGAACTATATTGGGGTAGAGGAAATGTGCAAGCTGAAGACCCTCTGTTTGCTGATAGGCTGCCTCTTCAGCATGCCACCCCCCATACCCATACGCATACCCAGAGTCCTGCTGCTGCTCCAGGACTGCAGCATCCCTACCCACTGCCTGGGCTGAGTCTTGGGCCTCAGCAAGCCATGTCCTTAGGGTGAGGGGAGCTCCTCCCACCAGCTCTGTTCTTTGCCTTAGCTTTGCAGTGAGTGTTGCTCATGTGCAACCCTTACCCCCTTAGGGACTGCTGTCCCCTGAACCCCTACTGTCAGCCCCAGAGGCCTTGGCCAGGCTGCTGCCTTGAAAGTGGGATCTTTGAGACAGGCCATCCATCCGGAAGCCTCATGCAACAGGATGATGTTGCTGAGAAAGCCAATGACAGAATCTATTTTCTCTGGAAAAAAAAAAAAAAAAGACCGAAAGCCATGTGTATTTTCCTATGTGCTACAGCTTTCCTGCAGAAATAAATTCTAGGCATCGGGAATTGGGCTTCCCTGTATGATCTTGGGGGGATCAGTAGGGCAGATGGGGCCTCAGGACCTCACTGCTCTCGCTTACACTGACATCTGCAGTCCAAAGAGGTGATGGACCTTGACAAGACTGGTTTCTGTAGTCCTAAGGTCCTATTCAGCCCCTCCTGTCCTTCCCCTTCCTTCTCCTGGGGCCCAGCCAACCAAGTGCCCTGGGACACACTTATAGGTATCTATCTCTTCATTTATATCCTTTTGCTGGCCATGGTGGCACACACCTTTAGTCTCAGCTCTTGGGAGGCAGAGGCAGAGGCAGATGGATACCCACAATCAGCCTAGTTTACATGGTTCCAGGCCAGCCAGGGCTACACCAAAAATAAAAAATAAAGTTATCTAGTCCTGCACAGCTACAGCTATTGTCTGCTCCTCCCCTTCTCTTTCCTTCTCCATTCCCCCCACTCTGGTGCTGGGGATTGAACCCCGGGCCTCAACGCATGCTCCCTGTGTAGTCCCAAGTAGAGCAGGCCTCCCAGCTCTGCTCCCCCTGGCCATGATGGCCCTCTTCTTACTTGGTTCACCATGGTTCCCTTGTTTTGTAAACTCAGCAGAGATCTGACTTTTTTTTTTTTTGTTTTTTTCTGAAGGGCTATGTTAACTGGAATGGGTTAAGGGTGCACCCCTGCATTAGTAGAGGCAGAGATTGATAAAACCTCATTCTCTTTCAGGTCAGTGTGGGAGCTCTCACTAAAGTGGGCAGGGGGAGTGAGGGCCCACAGACAGCAACAAAGTCTGCTTCTTTGGTTATTTCTTACTTGAGATTCCTATTCCTCCTCATACAGATCTACTGGCCTAGTATCCGTCGGGCTGCTGAAGGCAGGACTGGAGAAATGACTTTGTAGTTCTTGCCACCTGGGCATGGAGGCCTGCGTTTGGATTTGCAGCACCCATGTAAAAGCCAGGTGTGGTGGCGTGTACTTGAGTTTGATCCCAGGGCCCACATGGTAGAGAACTGGCTCCTGTCCTCCACTTGTGTGCTGAGCTATGTCCCTGTGTACTCGCACACAAAATGATAAAATGTAATTTAAAAATTGGAAGGTGGCACTCAGGACGCAGAGGCAGGCGGAACTCTATGGGTTCAAGGCCAGCCTGGTCTACATATCGAGTTCCAGGACAGGCTCCAAAGCTACACAGAGAAACCCTGTCTCAAAAAACAAAACAAAACAAAATGGAAGGTGGAGGGGGCTGGAGAGATGGCTCAGTGGTTAAGTAAAAAGTGCCTACAATTTTTTTCAATGTATTTAATTTTATATACATTGCTGTGAGAGTGTCAGGTTATCTGGATCTGGAGTTATAGACAGTTGTGAGCTGCCATGTAGTTGCTGGAAATTGAACCCAGGTCCCCTGGAAGAGCAGTCAGTGCTTAGTCACTGAGCCATCTCTCCAGCCCCAAGCACCTACATTCTTGGACTAGGATCCCAGTCCAATTCCAATACTCTGATCAGGAGGCTTAGAACCTGCTAATAATGCCTCCAGCTCCAGGGGATCCAGTGCCCTCTTCTGGCCTTTTCAGACACTGCACAAGCTCACACTTAATACCTATGCAAACACACATGATTAAAGATATTTTTCCCCCTTAATCAGAGGGGTTGGAGAGGTGGCTCAGCAGTTAAGAGCACTGGCTGAGCCAGGTGTTGGTGGTGCACGCCTTTAATCCCAGCACTCGGGAGGCAGAGGCAGGCTGATCTGGGGGAGTCGGAGGCCAGCCTGGTCTCCAGAGTGAGTGCCAGGATAGGCTCCAAAGCTACACAGAGAAACCCTGTTTCGAAAAAAAGAAAAGAAAAGAAATCCTGTCTGTAACTCACCTCTTCACGGGTCTATACCCAAACCCACATAAAATGGAGTGTGAATCTTTTTGCTGGAGAAAAACACATAATTCTACTAATTGGTCTCATTTTGCATTCATGACCACAGCCTTAGTATGTTAGAGGGCTTACCCAGCCAGTGTAGCAAGGCAAGAAAAACAATAAAAAAAAAAAATATGGAGAAAAACTTGTGTCCATAGTCAATATGATGGTGTAGGTAAAAAAAAAATCTGAAGGAGTGGTGGGCACATTTCCCAGCTGGTAGACTGCTTGCTTATCATGAATGAAGGCCTGGGGTAAATCTCCGCACTGAGTATATCAGGTACTCAGAAGGTACATACATTCCAGCACTCAGAAGGTAGAGGAAGGAGCGAGCATCAGAAGTTCAATATCCTCAGATACATAGGGAATCCAGGGCCAATCTGAGCTACATGAGACCTTGTCCGAAAAATAAAATTAAAAAATCCAAGGGAACCTAAGGATAAATTGTCTTTCTAGGCATTTGATTTATATTGTGAGTGTAATGCCTCATGAATGTGCACTACATGTGTATCTGGTGTCCGCAGAGGTCAGAATAGAGCATCAGATCTCCATGAGGGGAGCTACAGACGATGGTGAACTGCCAGATGAGTGCGAGGAATTGAACCCGGATCCTCTGCAAGAGCAACAAGTGCTTTTAACCACTGACCCACATCTCCAGCCTCAGGAGGGCAAATTGTTAAAGTGGGCTTAACCAAGTTGTTGGACCTGGGGCTGGAGAGATGGCTCAGTTGTTAAGAGAACCTAATATTCGTAAAGAAGATTCTAAACTGACTCCTAGGACCCGCATCAGGCAATTCACAACTGCCTGTAACTAGTTCCAGGGGAAATCTGATGATTCTGACCTCTTATATTTGTGCACGCGAGCGTGAGCCTGTGCACTCACACACAAGAGAAAGAGAGACAGAGAGACACACACAGAGAGAGATTCCTGCACATAGTTTGAAATAATAAAAAGTGAATCCTTTAAAAATTGTTGGATCCACCTGTTTTGCCTATCAAGTTCTGGGATTAAAGGTGTGCATCACTACTGCCTAGCTTTAAAATAAGGATATTTAATAGAACATAAAATGCACTAAACAAATGAAAACATGAATGAACTGGAATACATTTTTAAACAAATTCTTATTATTAGATAGCAATATTAAGAATAGAGCCAGTCAGGTGTGGCACATGCCCATAATCCCAGCACTGGGATTGAGACAGGAAGAGGTCAGTTATATGCTGGCCAGGGCTAGATAATGAGACCCTGTTTCAAATAAGAACAGCAACAATAACAAGACAATGGTAACCAACCCACTGTAATCTTATAGACTGTAATCTTATAGACTCCTGTAATCCTGTAATTACAGGACTCCTGCAGTCCTGTAATCTTATAGACTCAGACTCTTTGAAGGTTAAGTTGAGACAATATAGTGAGCTCTTGATGGATAGATGATTAGATAGATAGATAGATACATACATACATACATACATACATACATAGATACATAGATAGATAGATACATACATACATACATACATACATACATAGATAAATAGATAGATAGACAGATAGATACATAGATAGATAGATAGATAGATAGATAGATAGATAGATAGATAGATAGATTTTTTGGGGGGTGGGGAGTTTTTGAGGCAGGGTTTCTCTGTGGCTTTGGAGGCTGTCCTGGAACTAGCTCTTGTAGACCAGGCTGGTCTCAAACTCACAGAGATCCACCTGCCTCTGCCTCCTGAGTGCTGGGATTAAAGGCGTGCGTCACCAATGCCCAGCCAGGAAGGCCTTCTTGTAAGTATAAAGTCTAAAGACTCATATGTTGAATACATATATAAGTCAGTAAAAGATTTACAAATCAACAGATATATGGATAAGAGATTTGAACTAGCATTACAGCTGAAAATAATTGACTAGCCAGTAAACTAATGAAAAGGTGCTCAATGTCTTTTTTTAGTCATTAGGGAAATACAAATAAAAAAAAACATTGTATCAGAATGATCATAATAAAAACGACAATAGGAAGTTGGTTCTCTGTGTTTGTGTGTGTGTTGCGTACTGAATCCAAAACCCTGTGCATATTGTCCAAGTACATCCCCAGTCACACCAAATTTGGGGGAAGACGGGAAGCATTAGAACTCACAGACACTGCTAGAATTTACATTGGTAGAAATGATTTGGATAAATATGTCAGCATCTCGCCAATGATTCCACAATTCTAGTGTTGCTTAGTATTCACAGGGCCCTGAATTTAAAACCTAGCATAAATAAGAGGCTAGGTGTGGGGGAGCCATTCTATAATCCCAGCAGGGGCATGGAGGAAGGGTCAGCAGTTCATAGAGAATTGGAGAACCTGTCTCAACAAAAAGATAATAAAATACACAAAACTGGCCACAATTGTAAAGCCACCAATAGTGTATGGATAAGTAAGAGTATTTTCCCAGGCAACATTAGGAATAAGCAAACTGCAGCCATATACTATAATAGATGAACCTCAAACACTGAAACAGAAGCCAGAATTTATACTATGATTCCATGACAGAATTGATCAATGATTACCTCTGGAGGAAAGAGGCAGTCAGTGACTAAGTGAGCCCAAGGACTAGTGATATTCCTTTCTTTGTCTTTGTGGTTATATTTGAATCATCACTATACCAATTTATTAAGTCAGGCTCCATTTGGTGTTTGTTTGTTTCAAGACAAGTTTTCTCTGTGTAGCCCTGGCTGTCCTGGAACTTGCTCTGTAGACCAGGCTGTCCTTGAACTCAGAGATCCTCCTGCCTCTGCCTCCCTAGTGCTGGGATTAAAGGTGTGTGCCACCATGCCTGGTAACTCTTGCTCTTTGAATATCATATTTTCATGTTGTGTTATCCTTCCATTAAAGGGGGAAAGGCTGGGGTGATGGCTCAGCAGTTAAAGCCCTTGCCATGCAAGTGTGAGGATCTGAGTTTGGATCTCCAGTACCCACGTGAATCTTGGATGGGTGTGGCAGCCTGCTCATAATTCCCAAGCTCAGAGGGCAGGTTGGTATCCTTGGGACATCTAAGATAATCAGACTAGCTGGATTGCCGAGCTCTGGGTTCAATTGAGAGACTCTGCTTCAATGAATAAAGTGAAG